ACTGGCCCCATCTGTGGTGAGTATTTTAAAACTCTTTTCAGAACTCATTATATATTTGTGCAAGATCCTCGCAGTAAAGAGCACTATTTTATCACGAAACCCGCGTGTCTCTACTAAAACGGGACCGAAGCTCTGCGTGACGTCACGCTAGTTTGCTGACGAGATTGACGAGAGATAAAAATAATAACTGCTAATGTGGGATCACTCTATTGGCCACAATAGTGACGCTTTTATTTCACCCGACATCAAGAACATTGATATAATAAACATCACGCAATCTCTTTAGCAAAGGTGGGGTTAAATATCGGCCACCGCCTCAAGAATGTGGCAACCCCACCAAGACGACCGCAGAGCTTGGAGATCACTGGTTACAAACCTAATAGAACAAACCTAATAGAACAAACCTAATAGAACAAACCTAATAGAACAAACCTAATAGAACAAACCTAATAGAACAAACCTAATAGAACGGTAACGATGCGAGCCCATGACTGACCAACGTTACGTTCAACCTGGAAACGATAAAGCTATGTAAATGATATAAGCGGAGGCGGGCACAGCCCGAACAACGTACTAACGATTAAAGCAGTCTGGAAAGCATATCATTATCCAGATGGAGGAAAAAGTACAGACAACGTTACCGAATAAAATGTCTATAGTCGTTAAGCAGTCAGTCAACAATGAAAGCCGAAAATGAACCGACAGCCCAATGCTTGACTGGATTGATCCCGGATGCAATCTAGTAACAAATGTCAGCTTTTCGAGCGTGAAAGGACAAATTATTCTTAAAGGAAGAGGCGGACGCGAAATAGCATACTAGGAACTGACAGCCGTACAATTGATAAACAACGCTAAGGCGAATGCACCGCAGGTAAGAACTGGAAAAGCGTAGCAGCCCATGTCTGAACTACGCCATGACCCGTTCATCCCCAAATAGGTAATTAGTTGGCATGTAAAGTGCCCGACCTGATGTAGAACTTGAAAGCGTCGGACCTCCAGCGACCAAGAGCCTGGATTTGAGTGTCGGAGAGACCATTCTCAGCGGCAAGACAAGCGGCCCCTATGCGGAAACTATGATTTTTATATCGAGAAGGGTCGAGTCCACAAAAGGTTAAACAACGACGTAACTCAGAATTAAAATGGGTAATAGTAATAAGGCTCCCATCAGGTGAACAGAAAAGTGGCCCGGGCTGATTGCCTCGCAACCGACAATACTCGAGGAGAGATTTGACCAGACAGAATGGAAGAGAATCTTCGCGTGCTATAATGATATCGTAGGGCCGATTGTCTGTGTTATGTTTAAAGCGAGTGAGTGTGATCTTGACCCTGCAGATGTCAGCTGAACTCGTAAGAAAGCTGACGTTGCAGTACTGAACAACGCTACTAGAACAATTACGGCGTTTGGTCGCTAGCTCTCCGACGCGGATAACCCGTAAAAGGCTAATAAAAACATGGTGGAAAAAGTAGTGCGCTGAGAGGCCGAAGAGTTGGTAGGGTGCAAGGAGCGAACCAGTTGATGGAGAACAGATCATGTAATGGGCAGCCGAATATCGGCCGACTTCGAGCGACTAATAGCCCTCGAAAGTTTTTGAATGACGAATGTTTTGGTAGGATCGTGTACACCGGCTACTTTGTGTACCTAACTAATAGCGGAGAGATAAGAAGTTACGGTTGCGGGTGCCAATTTCCGTGCATAGTAAGTAATAGTAATCAAAGTTTAATGTCTTAACGTGGGGCATGCTTACCCATATTGCCCGAGCCAGAGGCTCATATATGAAACGCAAGACAACAACCCATCCATCCCACCCTAAGGGAGGACATCCATCACACAGTAATCTCGTGCGTGAGAAATTAATGTCTCCTACCCCTAACCCTGCAGGAGACGGGACCTCCATTTATTCGTCCCCATCCGAGAAGACTACTAAACCATTTCTTGATGTTATAGAAAGGCAGCATATTCTTCTCAATTATTTTAAGACTTTGGGTGTTGGTCCGGCCGTGGCTCGAACCCTCGACCTCCCGTACATCAGTCCAGCGCTCTATCCATTGAGCTAACGGGGAGGCGGGAGCGTGTTTAAATAGGAAATGAAAAGGGCCAAGGAAGCGCAAGTCAAGGGGAGCGAAGGGGAAGCTGAATTGAAATAATGGCTGTAAAAATCGCTAAAGACTGCCCACGCCCTCTGATACATTTTCCGAGTCAGCGGACGATAGTGAAGCCTCAAGTAGAGCCCTCAAATTAGTGACCAACTCTCCGGCAGAAGGCTCTCGGGCACTCTTGTGGGAAAGTCGTCCACTCCCGGACACAGTTCCTTGAAATTGTCGACCTGAAACCGGGAAATGTGATCGGCGGGAGTATTGTGAACACCTTGAATATGCCTAGCTCAAAACATTATGTTGTGTCGCAAAGAGGTTAATACCAGGTCACGGACCAATATCATCACCAAATTCTTCTACAATACCGAAAATCTGTGTTCGGATGTTAACAGGATGGAAATGAAGGCGAGAAGGACCAGGAGAGTAACTGACCTTGACTATAACCTTGGTGCTATTTGATCTGACCTCATCTGATTGGCTTAAGATCTGTGATTGACAACGCTCCTTGCGCCATGCAAAGGCACACCCAAACACTTAACTCTATATATGACGGGCCTCGAGACAAAATCACATTACGCTTTTGTCATAATGTTGGCCTTTAAGCGATAGTGAAAATCAGACCTGAAAAAATTCAGGCCTGTGTGGGATTCGAACCACTGACCTCTGCGATACTAGTCCAGCGCTCTACCAATTGAGCTAACAAGCCAACTGGGAGCAGGTCATCAAGTTAATTCGACATAAACCCGTAAGATAATAAATCAAACTCAACGAATATATCAAATTCATATTTCTGAACTGCGGTTATAGAATTATGTCGAATCAACTTGATGACCTGCTCCCAGTTGGCTTGTTAGCTCAATTGGTAGAGCGCTGCACTAGTATCGCAGAGGTCGGTGGTTCGAGTCCCGTACAGGCCTGAATGTTTTCAGGTCTGATTTTCACTATTGCTTAAATAGTGCTCTTTACTGCGAGGATCGCGCACAAATACGTTTCTATAACCGCAGTTCCGATATATGAATTTCATATATTCGTTGTGTTAGAACTCATTATGCTCTCAAACATTCAAAACACACGATTCAGACCCGTTAAGGTTCAACTAGAAGAAGTGTTTTCTCTGTACTATCACATAAATTTGTAGCAAATTCTCAGTTGAAAGGACTTTTATTACATGGTAAATCGTTTCTTCATTAAAGGGGGTAAGTTTCTAAAGAAATTGTGGTGCTGCGTCGGTGGGGGAGTATGTCAAGGTAATTTTTGGTTTGATCAACTGAGTTAATAATGTAATGCAGTAAATGGTTTGAACCCGGGGGTAACATGTGAAGGTGTAGTCTGATCGTTCGGGTGAGTGTAGTCCTGAGAAGGACTGTTGTCGGTGGCAGTGACTGACGTTTCGACAACCTGTGCGGAAGTCATCATCAGAGTCAAGTGAGTGATTGTTGTCAGTAGAATGTTCTTATTCCAGTTCGTGTGAAATGATCGGTTGGTTTTGCCGTGATGTTATTGGCTGTAAGACTCAAGTGACGTAAGTCGTTCGTGATTGGTCTGTTTCGGTCTGTCGGTAAAGCTAGGTTGTTCTTTTTCGGTCGTTTGTGATGTTTATGTCGTGAATGAGTCGTTTGTATGGGGCGGGTAGTTGTTGACATCTGTTTAGGGGAGTCTGTTCTAAGTTAGTAAACCAGCTTTCCAGAGTCAGTCGTTGAAAATAGTCAGTGCTGTAGGTTAGGCATTGCGCAGAGTCCCAGTCAATGTTGTGGTTGGTAAGTCGATGGTGTTCAGCAATGTGATTGCTGACATCACCTTTCCTCGTCGCCCGTCTGTGTTCAGTAATAATGTAAATAGGCCGCCGTAAAGAATTTCAAAACTGACATTTCGAGTGTTAGCCCTTCGTCGGAGCGTTTCTTCGTTAGGTGATTTGAAAATGAGCTATTTTCGCAATTTTGTTGTTATCGTATGTTTACTCCCGCAGGACGATGTCGAAAAGTATATCTCTTTCGCCACTGATCGCCATGACCCCGGAAGAGAACGTTTCTTTCTGCACATAATTGATTAGTTTTTAGTATATTTTCCTTTCTCAGTGTCGAATTTTATTGGAAATTAAATCTTTGAAATTATGTTTCCTTTTTATTTTTATTATGAGTATTTCGTGCATAGTTTTGTTTCCGTTGTTCGTGGTATTTTTTCAACATTTTTCGAGGCATTTTGAGGAGTTGCCTTATTTTGCGTGTCATGTCCAAACATTTATGTAGATGGACTTCGGACTTTGGACCCTTGGTGTCAATAGATTGTATAAGATAAACAGGATTCTAAAACTGGTTTTTACTATTCTCTCGTTCATCATTTTTGCGAGAGAATTTATTCTTCTTTACTTCCAGACAAACATTTAACAGGTTTGATTATTCGCCAAAATGAATGCAGAGTCCTGGGTTGCATTTGAGGATTCTTAATTTTTTGTCGCAAAGATAAAAGCAAGCATTCAACACTAAAAACGCTCCATTTCATTTTTTATTTCTGGCTTCTACTCCTTCCGCTTTTATCGCAAGTAACAAAAGCTTCACAACTGTTTGTTTTAGTTTTCCTTTAAGAAATATTAACGTGGCATTGAAACCTCAACGAGAATAAAATGCCTTAGGCACCTGTATGGCGCAGTAATGTCGCAAGTACATAGCATCTCGCAGGGCAATATTGAGAAAATATCCTTTACTTTAAAAGAGAGCAACTTCTCGACAATTATTTTTCCCTTGCGCTTTATGCACCTCACAGTTGTCGCCGATATCGAGACATAAACTATGCGAAAAAGGTTTCAAAGCCATTTAAGTTTCCCCAATTAAAATGCAGTGTAACCATAGAGAAAAACATTTTAGTCATTATCTAACACGATCATGAGATTAGGAAACAAAACTCATTTCGTAAAATGTCCTGAAGTTCTCGAGACGTGTTAATCCTATTTTGAAATGGTTTTCTCAAAAGTAAAATATAAATATTTTAGGTTAAAATCAATCTTCTATGATGCTAAGTGTAAATGAACCAGCTATTATTTTGCCGGGATGTAAGGCCCGGAAATAATTTCCATATTGAATAGACCTTTTTCAATGAAAGCTTTCATATGTGCATCGAATTATAAATCATTTTTAAAAAATTAGGGCTGGAAGACGTACATCAAGAATTTATTAGGAATCTAATTTATTCTGAAGTACGGAGTAGTTTTTAGATGTTCTTGTGGCCCGAAATACTGCAAGCTTTGTCGATTTTTTTATACGTATATATTTACATTTCAAGTTGCACTTTTCATGTTGGCGCTAAGCCATTAAACGAGGAACACTCGAGGCTAAAACCATTGGAAACAGTGTTGTATAATAACTGACTGAGGAGTAATGTAAAGCTCTTTGGAAAAAACGGAGTCATTTGTCGTAGAAAGTATGATTTCTATGGTAAGATGTTTTATTCCGCATGAAACTGATTTCTTTGAAATAACAAGTGACAAAACTGTCGTTTTAAAGAGCATTTTAATGTTAAACTTAGAAGGTTTACCAATTTATTTGTTTTTTAGCAACGTTCCAGTTACACGTTCACACCAAACAAAGAGGAAGTCATTGAGTCAAGGTGCGTAACTTTACCATTTGCTTTTTCCTTTGATTCAGTGAAAAAGATCTTCTTGATTATGATTTTTCTTTAGAAACGATGTCTCAATGCCTCACTCCTGCCAAAGATGAGTCGAGATCGGCAATGGAAAATGAGATAGAATTAACTTTATTTCAAATGCAAATTGTCCACTTGTAAAGCGCAACAGGAAATTATTACTTCGTACACTAAACCTGAAAGGACTGCAATCGTGTTTTCTTCTCTACGTTTGTATTTGTGAATTCTCACCCGCCGTGACGTGGGAAAGAACATGAAAAGAAGAAATAGGTCTAGCTAATTTGCCCCTCCAACGAATGAAAGATTGAAATGATATGCAATAATCTAAACAAAAATTTCACTTTCAAGATTAATTTGCGAAAAATTCGTCGCTTCTAGTTCAATTCCCGTTTTCTATGAAAAAAAATTTTGCCATTCGATGTCTGACAAGCGTATTTATCAAAAGCAAAAAGGACAAGAGGCTTTTTCCATGCATAAATCTTCAAGCCACATAAAGTTACATTAATCAATAAGAGTTGCGATTTAAACGGCTGAAAAAACATGAAACCATGGGAACCTGAGAGGCAAAATGAAACATTTAAGAAGATATTTTCTGATTTTGTTCACAAAATAGATAAAAATTGCTAGTGTAAAATTGTGTCGGATATAATTTTGAAAACATTTTTGTAATTATCCAGAAGAAAGTCCTGTAATATCAGTGGTCAACCGATAGGCATGACGAGCCTTTACCCGCATAGCATGATATATCTAATTTTTGAGTAATTCCCCCGCATATTGAGAAACAAATGAGTCGTACGGGGTTGATGTTTTTTTTTTCGAGAGAATATAAATACTTGTACTATATTTCTTAAGTGTTTTCAGTTACCTTTGACATTGACAGTTCTTTACAGCTGGGGCATTATAATGATTCATAGCTAAGGGCTATGATCGGTTAATCATTCATTCATTTCTTATTTTAGTCATCCATCTATCTATTCATACATGCGCCTTTTCCATTTTACCCGTTCATACCATCCTCCTTTTTTTCATCCACTCCTTACTTCGCTCATTATTTATTCTCTTATTTTTTCGTAAATCCATCCATCCATCCATCCTTCCATCCATCCATTCGTCCATCCGTCCATCCATCCATCTATCCTTCCATCCATCCATTCGTCCATCTATCCATCCATCCATCCATCAATCCTTCCATCCATCTATTCGTCCATCCATCCATCCATCCTTCCATCCATCCATCCATCCATCCATCCATCCTCCATCCATCCTTCCATCCATCCTTCCATCCATCCATCCTCCATCCATCCTTCCATCCATCCATCCATCCATCCATCCATCCATCCGTCCGTCTGTCCGTCCGTCCGTCCGTCCATCCATCCATCCATCTATCCGTCCGTCCGTCTGTCCGTCCGTCCATCCGTCCATCCATCCATACATCCGTCCATCCATCCATCCATCCATCCATCCATCCATC